TTATAAGAGAAATTATTTCTTGGTCACTCACGGGAATTTAACGGTTTTGGTAGGTAAGATTGACATGGGCAGCAGTTCCACGGAAATCCGAAGGATCTCAAATTTCATATCCCCCATCTCGATTTCATACAAAACGTTTCGTTGGCCAGATGCCGTACTCTGGATCTCTGGATATTTCCATATTAATTTTATTAAATATTTAGATATCTACGTTCTATCGCCAATACTATTAAGCAATCTTTTTCTCTTTGACCATTCCTTGCTCTTACGCACGTGGCTGAATTCAACAACATCAGCTTGCAAGCTTACCTTTAGTCGCGCGTTCAGGCTTGACGGAATTTATACATTGGTGGGTAAAATCACTTACAAAATCTAGTTACTCGACCGTTGGAAATCGTCAAAGGGCTAAAATCTGTAGAAAATCAGTCTCATTGGTGTTTTACAGCTACCTTTGAGCAAGAATTCGAATTCACGTGCACGCAAATCCTACCTCGTCGTCGTCGCTAGCACACAGCTCGTCCGCCCCATGAATAGGTTCGTTGTTGCGTAATCGATCTTCTAACACAGGTGCGATTCTGTTCAAAATAACGTTATATCAAGAAAAATACATTAATTTCACAACTATACCAGCAAATTGCATGACACAAGCTCGTTGGTAATTTACGTTTCCACCGTATACGTACTTCAGAGCTATTTCCGCAGCCATTATGGTGGAACCCTTCCCTCGTGACTATTACAAAGGGATTGTGGGATATATCGACCACGTGGTATTGGCTTCAATCGACGCCATCTTGGTTACAGCCAGCTGTTTGTTCATACCTTCCTTACTCTTCTTAAGCAGAGATACGCGACATGCCGGCGTCTCGCTCTCGATCGAGATCGCCGAGGAGGATTTCGACTTCATCAAAACCGAATTCTCGTGAGCTTATCACGATTAAAACCGAAAAAGACTCCGAAAATAGCACAAATAAGAACACTGACTCTTCAGCTTCCCAGAGCACCAAACCAAGTGAGAAGCCTTTCCGAAAGCCATTAGAATCGTCAGCCTCCAAAAGTAGCGGCGCGAGCAATTGGAGTTCATCACACAAAACTAAGGAGAGAAAGTTTTCCGGACGATGTAGGCTTTTCGTGGGGAACCTGACCAACTGCGACGAGAAGGAGCTTAGGGATATGTTTGAAAAGTATGGAGAGGTGGCAGAGGTCTTTGTAAACAAGGATAAAGGATTTGGTTTCGTGAGACTGGTTAGTATCAATAGAAACGAATTTATGAAATATTTACATGTGAATATAAACTCAGGGCCACAGTATTTCAGCATTTTTTTGGGATTGTACAATGCACGAGGAAGCTTTCCAAAACGTCAGATAGCGGAGAGCTTCCACGATATGAGGACAAAGACCAAATTTACCTTTAATTTTGTTTTATTCGTGCATGGAATTTTTTCCTTAAATTTGAGACAGACCAATTAACATGTACTCAAAAAGGCATTAACTCAAGTGGTTTTCTTAGCAATATGCCCATGGTCATATTATTATAATCATAAAATCTTTAAATTGTGAAAGACTAAGGTAAAACTCAAACCTCCACCCATATACTGGTTTGGTGCAACTACAGACTGCACTGTGAACCCACGTGTTGGCAAGGAAGAAAATTGAGATGGATTCTTGCTGCAAAAGGAATCGACTTTGCTCAGTTTAAGTCTAATTTCAACATCTTTTCATGAACATGAAATTGAGGAAAAATACTGGAAGACAAGGAGCATGGATTGCACAGGAACATGCTTCAGAAACATAATCATAGTCCAAAAATTATCAAAGATGCTATGATTTTTTAAAAACAAGGTAAGATCTTTGTCTGTCCATAGGATACACGTCTGAATGCAGAAGCTGCTAAACAAGCTGTTGATAACCAGTATAGAAATGGAAGAACTTTGCGTGTGCGATTTGCCCAACATGCAGCTGCTCTGAAAGTACTAAATCTTGGTCCAACAGTCACAAATGAGCTGTTACATCAGGCTTTTTCACAGTTTGGTGATGTGGAGCGAGCCATTGTTGTCTGTGATGACAGAGGAAAATCCAAAGGACATGGTATTATTGAGTTTTCAAGAAAGAACTCTGCTCAAACTGCTTTGCAGCAAGTTAATGATGGCTTATTCCTCCTTGGAAGGTAATTCGAAAATTATGATGTTGTTTATTGCTCTTCAAGTTTTAGTGAAAGAGTTCCCTAGTATGAATCAATAGCTTTGGCCAGACTTTGATGAAATGTCATAACCAAGGTACAACTTTCCAAATGAGTGATAATACTAGTTAAGTTTGAATTATTTTAATGTGATCTTGACTCAGTGATGAATTTTGTTTTTTCTGGAATTACCGTATGAGGTTTTTTCAAACCCATGTTTAAATTTTGGCATCTGAGAGTCAAAGTCCTTACAAAATTAATGTTTACCAAATAATGATTACTACTGATCTAAATCTTATTTTTTGGGTTGTTTTCAGAACCCCATGTCCTGTATCTGTCAAACAGTTAGAGCATATAGAAGATGAAGATGGTATTTTAGATGAACATATGAAGAGAAATCCTGCATTTCAAAAGTAAGAAATGGCATAAGTGTTTTGTGTAATCTTGTATCACTTTGACTAACCCACACCCTTTTTCTTGATGGTGGGTTGATGTGCAAAGGACTTGAATACCAAATTTTATAAAGAAAATGTTATTTGATTCTCACCATTATCAAGAAGACCTGTTATCTGATGGGGAACATTTCCCTCATAGGAATTTTTTTTTACAGTTTACAAGGATTAAACAACTGGATTTGTAGGGAACTACTTAACCATGTAACTCCCTTGAGCAACCAAGACAGAATTTCTCTCCATAATAATTAAGGAATATCAAGCAGACAAATAATGAGAATGAATAAATATACATATCAGGGGATTATTAGGCAATCCAATACCAAATTATCCAAACTTGCATTGTAAGAATTGTGTAGCCAGACAGTAAGGATGAATACTAATGTGATCTTTGGAGTGAAATGGTTCATTAAAGATAATTGCTCATTTTTTTTTTTGTTGTTGTTGTTTTAATTTATGAGTGTGTATGGTGTTTGTTTTTGTTTTTGTTTTTTTTGTACATTTTCATTGTTGTTCTGGGTTTTTAACATGTTTATTTTAGAGAGAGAGAAGCCCAACCACACTTTGTGTCACCCAACACATTTGAGTCAGAATGGGCCCAGAGATGGCGAGCATTGGAAGAAATGGAAGGATCCCAGAGAGAAGCTCTAGACAAACAGTTTAAAGAAGCTCGTGATAAATTGCAAGGGGAAATGGATCAGGCTATCCAGGAACATGAAGCTGTACTAATGAGACAAGGTATCAGCGTAATGAACATAGCAAGACAAGAAGTTTTCTTGAGGCAAAATTACAGTGGTTTCTTTGCATTATGATAACCAATCCATATTTATTTTGCTGTTTCTCCTTTTTCTCGTAGGATGAATGATTAAAAAAATCTATTTCCCTACGAATATCTTTAAGTTTGGGCTTTGCTTGTGATCATGGTTGGTTTCTACTTTAGAAACAGTAAAGCTTAGAAACAATGCTTTCTATTTTAGAGCTCATTATAAGATTTGTTCTCTGCTTCTCTGTGATGAAACATCTTCTGGAATTACCGTATGAAGTTTCTGAAGAAACTAATGGATAGAATGTGGCTTCTGAGAGAGGTGCAGGCTTAACTTACACTTACAAGAGTATTGCTTAGCAGGAAGGGTTTTGTTGAGTAACTACGAAAATTGATTGTTTTAGAAATTCAACGTCGTCAAGATGAGCTTCGTCGATTTGAAGAGATGCGTCAGAAAGAAGAGATGATGAGGCAAGCAGAATTAAGGCAAGGAGAACATTGTTTTTTATTCAGCCCTAGAATTGTCCTTTTTGAATGACAAGAGTATGAAAGGTGTAATTTGGCCAGCTAGTCAGTTTGTATTGGGGGTAGAGTTGTTGAAAAACTGTGATAATCTGGGAACTAGTTTTCCAGACAGGTCTGGTAAGGGTGTGGACATTTTTTATCTCCTTAAAAATGAGAGGAAGTCATGGTTTACTTGGATGGTTCGCCTGAATTGTAGTGAATTAGGTAGATGTATTCCTTGATACATGATATGATATATTATTTGGACTACAACATGTAATGGCATCTAATTTCCAGGAGACAAGAAGAAATGCGTCTTCAGGAAGAATTGCAGCGGAGGGAAGAAGAGCTGCGACATAAGGAGGAGCTCTTCAGGCAGCAACAGCGAGAACTTCAGAGGCATCGACAAGAGGACATGTACCTACAGGTTAATAATCTTTTGGGGATAAAATAATGCTAGGTTTATTTACATGTGTATTGTGACTTAGCCTCGCAAGGGATTTAGGTCTGGCAGAAGTTTATTCAAGGACCTGCACCTTGTTATTTTACCGTGGCCTATCTCCAATTTGAGCATCTCAGTTTCATCCATGCCCTCCTCCCTCCCCCCCTTTCCACCTGGTTGTTACAGTTTTTCTCTCATCCGTGTACATCGTTGCATTTTCGCCTCAGGATTCTATGCGGCATATGGATACTAACATCCCACCAGGAATGCCTCCCATGGTATGCTTTCCACATCCATTGTGCTTTCTGTTTGTACGTCAGTGGTAGTCCTTGGTTCAGTAAATTACCACTGCTTTAAAAAGCATCTAGTACATTGTGGATACAGTGTTGCATGGTCATCAAGGATTTCTAATACATGAGAATTACACTCCTTGTGTAGAATTTGAGTTTTGCAAGTTGTTCTTGCATATAAGTTGTCTGAAAAAGGATTCCAGTACTCATCCAATTTAGTTAACATGTTGATATTTCATGAGTTCTGTATTTGGCCTCATTTTGTTTTTTATATTATTGGGTCAGTGTTATCAAAAGTGTGCATGTGATAATTTCAGGTGAATATACTCTCACATGCTTTTGAACTATTTCAATATGTTCTAAAAGCAACTAGATTAGATTCATATTAACCTTAAAATCGTTGTAGGGTTATTCTATCAATTATCACACATAAGTATTTTTTCCTGTCTGTAGGGACCTCCTGGTGGAGACTGGGGAAGAGGGCGTGGTGGACCACCCCCACGAGGACCACCAGGAAGAGGTGGACCACTAGGCCGTGGAGGGCCAGGCTTTGGTCCTCGTCCACCAGGTCCAGGGATGGGGAACCCTCCAAGGATGGGCCCAGGAATGATGCCACCAAGAGGACCACCTATGGGAGGTCCACCTCCAGGCCCTCGTGGACCCATGGGACCAGGGATGAGACCTAATGGGCCGGTAAGGTGTTAATATTTATCCTTTAGGAGGAATTTGTGTTAAATTGTGTGAAAAGCTCACTAGATTTAAACTGATCTCAAGGGTTGTCGCTAAGTGCTGACTGCCAGTGAAATTTGCAGGTGGAAAAGTACCATCTTTGTGCTGCCTCACTTGAAATTTCAGCCAGCAAACCAGCAACCTTGGATGTAGTGTTCCATAGATAAATGCTGGAATGCAATTCTCCTAATGGAGGAGAAATTTTCTGTGAGCATGCTATGTGGGAATTTTCAATTGTGTGACTCTGAAGTAAACTTGGTTGCAAATTGAAGTAGTAATCATCTCTCAAGATAGTTAGTAGAACTAGTACTTTTTTTTCAAGAAATCATGGATAGGCCATATTTCAGGTAGTATTCTGAAGTGATACAAATGTGCTTGACAGAAACATGTAAGGAAGACATTAAATTTATCTGCATATCTTTGAGTGATAACTTGCAATCCGGCTGATGGATTCCTTAGAACTGTTGTGTCTATTGTTACATTGATGTGGAACACTAAAAAGCCTTCCTAGAAGGCCTTCGTGGTGATGAGGTTGAACCACCTCTTCAGTATGTTTACTAACATGAACCAAATCTTGCCAAGATTTGAAAAGCAGTAGGCAACTTTGTTAATACTGGCATAAATTAAGAGAAAGTCAATACAAAATAGTGACATTTTATGGCCTTATCAAGGTCATGAGTGCTTTGTGAAACTTGCTTTACATCCTGTGCATAGTTCTTTTTACTGTTATTTTATGGCTATGATAAAGAATCGAGACCAAAAACCTGTCAGAATGGACTGGCTCAACCAGCAGTTTTTCAGAATTTGCAATCCAGAATAATTGATCTGTGATGTTCAGAATCACAGTAAACATAGAGTATTGTAAAGCTTTTGCTGTGGAATGTTCTAATGATATGTTTGCTTTCTGTTTTTGCTGCCATCTCCACTGTGGATTTGTTTGCTTTTGGATTTTCTCTCATGCATTGGATTGTTGGATCATGAACTGTATATTCAAAATGAATTATCATTTTCGAACTTTATTAAATAATAATCCAGAGGCCAAGATTTGAAAATGAAAGGGAACGTGATCGTGAAATGGTCGATCGTGATCGGCTTGCTGCACGCTCACGAGAGCCACCTTCAAGAGACCGTGGAGATTTCAAGAGACCTCGTTACTAGGCAGGCACACACCATAATGACTCTGTCATATTGCTGTTCTATTCAATACATGAGTGAAAATAACTAAAATGGCTGTTTTGAAGTGTGCAAAGTGACTTCCTTAGATGACATCAAGAGAGAAGGAGATGTTTTGAACTAGTATTTGTATGTGCATCATAGTTTTGTAGTGGAGTTTGGAACCATTTGAATTTAGTTTGCAGTAGATTTGGCTTCCCATAAAAATTTGTGGATAATTGTTGTGGCTGAGCAAATAATCTTGGGGGAATTAGTTCTCAAAACTTTTTTAGCTGTAAGGGTAACTTCAAGCGACATCTTAACAAAGGCAGAGGACAAGTCTAAAATTCTTTTTTTTTTAATTCCATTTATTAGCTATACCAGTTTTCACAAGGGAATTATTCTGTTCTTGTTTTTCATGTATTTAAAGTTGGAATCAATACCACTAAAATGTGGAAAGGCATTGAATGCTAGGTTTATTGTGTTTATATTCATATATATCAACTGCTAGATACCCATATATAATACATGTAGCATTTCTAGAGAGGTTTAAGTAGAAATTATAGTCATTTTTAAACTGCTGTTGTCAAGCTTTTATTTCTGTTTTGAATGATTCTGCGACTCTGTGTACCAATATTATCATGATCTTTTCTCTAGCTCGATTGGGACAACTGGCAGTTGTGGTTTTCAGCAAAAAGATGTCTTTTTCTCCACAAAATATATTTTCCCTATTATTTTTCGTTTTAAGTTCATCTACTTTAATCATGCAGAAAAAAGTGCTTGAACACTTGAGGCTACAAAGAAGTTAACATTTTTATGTCCTTATGGCATGCAAACACAGAAAGTTCAAATTTTTTTGCAGTTGATATTAGCAGATGAACAGCAATGTTTTGTACATTGAATCCTGGGTATCTGAGAGATATAAATTGAAGCTGTCTGTAACCTTCAGTTGTGAACACATTCTTTAGTTCAGACTGTCATCTTCTTCTATTACAAAAATGATCTCTTAACCATTTTTATGGTGGGATAACTGCAAGGAATACCCATTCCAATGCTTAGGCAATTACCTTGAATTAGTAATACTCATACTTGAACAATCATTTGATCATAATTGCGACTGATCTGATTGTACCATTATATAGAATTGGCAACTGGTTTCAAGTGATGGGTTCAATTTTTTCATATGTATATTCAAATCACCTAAGGGTTGGGTAAATTTACCCATTTATTAATTATGCAGCTAGCAGTTATGTTACTTCACACATAACATTGATTATTGTCCCCTCATTGAACTCCAAATTCCCTTCCAGAAGTGTTTGAAAAGATGTTTTCTTTGAAGATATTCTTTTCCCTGATTTGAAGACCAATTTCCTTTGTGTTCTCCTTGGCTTAGGGCTAGATTTGTCTGCAAACAGATACTTTTGTGCTGTAGTAACAGAGATTTAACAGATATTTCTCTTTTGAACATCGGCTATAAGGGTTACACTGTACTTACTTTTCAGATGTAATTTCCTGAAAGGTTTTTACAAAAACTACACTCGTGGAACCAACTTGCCTTCTCTTTGGTTGTCAAACTTGCGTCATGTGAGTCTACTGAAGGCATTTTTTTGGTCTGTAGTGAAACAAAGAGTACAGAGTGTATGTATTCTTTACCTTTCAAACCCTTGTTTATTTGTCCAAACCAACTGCTTTACCTTGAATCATATGTTCTTGTAAAGTACTGAATATTTCATCTGAGAATTATGATTGACTGGGAATCAGGGTTGGCGCAGGGCTGATGTTATCTGTTGGTTGTATCACTTGCTGATGATATTTGCTTCCTCATCAAAGGTCACAATTACTTGAGGCTTTAGTGACATATTCAATAAACTTTGTAACTTACATTGAAAAGTGTGACTTGGGTCGTAGCAAAAGGTTAAACTGGACTCAAGTTGGATCTGCAAAGGGATGTCTCATACAATCATATGGTTTGTTGCAATGTGTGAATTGCAACCATTTTGTGAAATGAGTTTCAAGGGTTTATTTATGCACCAGTATTTCCAGCAAAGCTGTTAGTAGTCATAATATATAAGCAACAAAGCAAGCTGATCTGCAATCAACAACTGTTTGAGAGGCACAAAGTAAAATATTTTCAGTTCTTAGGTTAGTAATTGTTGTCAGATGCCTCTGCATTGTTCTTTGTTAAATTGCAGTGGAAGCAAACAAAAAAAAATTGCTCATGTTTTGAAGAAAATTATTTGTACAATCTGATATTTGGTAAAAAGATGCAGTTGTCAAAGAAAAAAATATATACCATATTTAAATTGTATTGACCCATTTAATTGTTAGAGACCAAGTTCCCAAAGCTGGCATCAGAGTTTATGACAGCATTAAGTGCATCGGTTGTTAGCATTCAGGGCCAGGTTGTTTGAAAAGTGGTTTGTGATAATCTGGGATTAAAGTTCAACTTGTCCTTGATTTCTCTTGTGATATAGTGCATATTAGTACTTACATTTTGAGGAGTTTTACCCATGTGAGACAACACTGGAGGAAATTTATTAACAATTAAGACTGTTTGCAAAGCTTCAAAACTAAATAAAAAATTGTTGGCTAACCTTTAGTTAGCTTAACAATGCAGCCCAGATGATTAAAACAGCTTAACAAGATAAGGACTTTCATTTTTAGACATCTTTCAAGATATACTTCAATCAAGGGGTTGTTCTGGTGATGAATGGATGGCATTTTGCTGTATTAAGCATTCAAAATCAAAGTTCATGCAAATTTATTGCAAACAACTTGGGCACATAAAATGCATATCAATTTTTTTTTGGACATCTAATTTTGATTTGGTGTGGGATCAGTCAAAAGATCAGTTTAAAAACAATTTGGGCAAGTTATATTGAAAATCCATTTCACTGAGTTTTAAATTTTGTTTGGTATTGGACTAGTAAAATGATCTTTTAACAACATTTCAAAATCTTTTAATTTCATGTGGAAGAGGAGTACAAAAAATTTAATTGAACAATTTAAACAGAGGCTTTCAGGCCTGTGCCTTATGTTTAAAAAAAAACATCCAAATTCCAATCCAACAAAGAAAGCAGCAGATTTCCTAGGTGTGTTTCACCAAAGTGAAACGGTGTACCATTGGATGTTACAGCCTGGAAAGAGCAAGGTATGTGAGTGACTTGAGTAAAGTACTGGTAAAGATCAGCAGTTTATAATTTTAAGACGGTATGTTACGAAAGCAAGTACAGTGTACACTTTAGAAGCAAAGTAAGCAGTGGTCAGCTTATTTGCTGATCCTTAAGCCATGGATACAGTTAGGTAAACTTAAATTTTTACATCTTTTAGTACTTCTTGAGATATTAATAAAAATTTATTAACAGAAGTATGCAAAAGCAGCTGCACCAAGTTGAATTAATCATTGTACTACCTAAGTGGCATTAGTTTGGGTAAGACATTTTCTGCTCACAGTGTTTTTGTTTTTACCAATTCCCTTATTTTCATGGATTCTAAAGATGGTGTAACCAGAAGTTAGAGAACACTTTTTTGATTTAACTTGAGGAAGAGTTGTTGGATGAATCTGTTGTTCCATGTAACTAAGTTTTTTTAGAATGTTTAGTGGGTATGCATCTCCTATATCACAACCAACCATAGTTGATGGCAATTGTTTCTGAGTTGTGTTTAAGTGTAAAATGAACTTGCTGAATTTGGTCACCTTTTATTTTATCGATTGAACATTTTCAATTGTTATTCTTATGTTTAGTTTTGATAATTCCTGAAAACTTACTCGGCAAATCTTATGCTCTGTGTATGAAGTTCAAGCATTGTTGTTAGCTACCACTAGTAGTCATCGGCATTATCTTATATGCGGTAAGCAGCGTAATTCAATTATTGCCCCTCGCTGGGGAAAGAATTTGAAAAAAGTTGCAGATATTCAAGTGAACCTTCGTTGACTGGTGTTGAATGGCATATCTGCCGATGTGATGCACATAACAGCTGAAGGTAATGTACTATAAGTTCTTAACTCTCATTACTGAAACTTAGCTTGTTTCAAAAGATCTATTAATCCTGTGCTAAAGTCAAATCGTTGACTTATTGCAATACTTCATCTTGCTGCACTCCTGTACCAAACAATCATGATGGTGTAAGCTACATTGATCCAGAGTTATCAAAATCAGGGTCTAGAAGGTTTCCAAAATTGATTAAATTGTAGCTTTCCTTCCAAGCTTTCTGCAACATTGCATTATTTCAAGGAACAGAGAATGAATAAGCATTTAAAAATCTTAAACTTTTGGTAAGCTTGCAATTTCTTGAAAGCTGCCAACCCCATTATTATAATGTTATGCATATCATGACCTCAGTTATTGGCAGTGAAGTTTTATAAACTTTTGTCTACTTTTTGAAGCATACTTTTTTACAATTTGCCAGCTAAGGCAAGGTGACCTTATTTGTTGCCTGTGCATTATTTGTAGTTGAGTTTCTGTCACTACTTTGAAATATGTATCACGAAAATTTGAATTTCAAAAGGTGAAACAAAAATACTTTTTAGTTTTCAATCAGTGAATCATCATCAGGGTACGCATTTTTGTAGTTGGAAATGATGATGATGATAATGAAATGATTGAAGACATTCATTGTTTTAGATCGCAGTTATAAAGTTTTTCTCGAGTTGGTTTATTGGTGAAAACAATTTGAAGAGAGCAGAAACTACTTTGTATTAGTACCGTATTATTTAGAACTGTTAATGGGATTTAAGAGAAGGTTCTATAATCTGACTAGAAATTGTTTAAATGATGAATCATATGCTGTGTGACCTTACTGTGTGAAAAAAATGTTAGTAAATACTAAATTGTTACCGTTTGTTTCACAATGTGGTCATTTCAAACATGGATTACAATGTTTAGACTGAATTCTGTGCATTGTTTGTCCAGCATGCGAGCAGTGAATTGTGGTAGTACACACTACATTGTGAGACAAACAATATCTCTTCATTATAACTGTGTTGTGTTATGATGAAAAACCACAAACATTTTTAAGACATTTAAAATTTTGTTCTCTATTTAAGTGATTCCTTGTTTGTCAGATGTACTGTTACATGGAATATTATATCTCAAAATATAAGGAAAACTTCAATGGAATAAAATTTCAATTGTGAAGCTTTTCAAGCATCGTCAATGAGTTATTTGATGCTAATATTACAGAGAAGGGAAAGTTTTTATTATTGTAAAGTGCTTTTTGTGTCTGAAGTTGATTCCTTGTTCACGTTTGTTTTGCAGGAGTACTTAATTCTGTTAACTTTTCTTATTCTAAAGATTTGTTTTGCTGTTTTTGTTTCTTTGTGTTAAGCTTATTGGTGTCATTTGAAGAGTGCAGTAACTTCAAACAGAGGTAAAAGACAAATGATGTGTTATTTCTCTCATTATCATGTGACTTGCAAACCAAGATTGCTTTTGATCACTTTTTAATGAGAGCAAAAAGTGGCACTTGTTGCCAAACATAAGGTAGTGGTAACACTTAGCAATCACTTATAGATTTGATTATCAGAGCCACCTTAATTTGCCTTGCAAAGTTATCGTTAACAGCTTTATAAGTTTTTGTGGAAATGGTTATACTCAAGCAGTTATTTTTTTTAATTTACAGATTGAAATTGTAACTTACCCAGCTATGGGGGGATTTCCTGTCATAATTGTGTGTGGTTACAAAGTTGAAGGTAGGCTCAGTGGTCATTTGAAATGTTAACCTGTTTCAGCACTTAATACTTTTACCGTAAGTTTGTTTGTAGTGCTGGTGCAATGATGAAATGTGTTTTTATGATAGTGTTGTTTGCAGCAGAGCCAGCAATGGTTGAACCCACTGCTGCAACTTCACTTGGTTGATCATTAACTCAGCTTGGCTGAAGTCTGATGCACACATGCACCCAATGCATAAATGGCCGACCCCAATTGGGATTATTTTGTATTCAGATAGATTAGCTCAACTAGCATTATCAGTACGTCCAAGAATCGTAAAAAATCTCAACTCAAAGATGAGGCTCATTGAGCTAATTTTACATGAGTACAAGAGAATACCAATCGGGCCTGCCATTTATCCATTCTGTCTATTACAATGGGTACTTCAGATTACACTGTATATCACTCTGAAACTGTTATTAGTCAATCTCAAGAGGGATCAATGTTTATTTTCAGGTTTACTGCCCCACATGGCAGAGCAAGGAATACCGAGTTGAGATTTGATTCACCATCAATTTGTAAGCCCAATTTTTGGAAGAGTTACAGATGAAAGCTGGGGAACCAAGGGGAACAAAAGTCACCAAAGTTTTGACAGCACAGAGAACAAATTATGTGCGTTCAAACAGGTACATGGAAAAAACATATGAAATCTATGTCAGTTATAAACCTTTCTGTTTAGACACATTGAACGAATTTAATTTATTACAACGCAAATCAGAGTAACTTATTGTAGGCACAAAATCATAATGTAGTATGGGGACACAGGGAAAATATTTGACTTATGAAAGGACGCTGGCATGATTTACATTAATTTGATCTGTGCATTAAAAAGGCCTTATGACTTGTGGATATTGTGAAGTGAAGCTAACACTTGTTACCAGATTTAAGATAGAAATTCTTCAATACAGTTTCCCTTTCATTTCATTGTAAAAAAGTTGAAAGAATTTTTTTTTAATCAAGATACCGCTACCTCGTACGCTTGTGCATTTTAATTCCCTGCGTACTGGATGATCGGTCACAGTGTTGATATTCTGAGGAGAAGCCGCATGTTTTCTCCCAGTGTAAAATCCCATGGATCGATGTGCAGTGATGACATTATGCAAGTGAGATAGTGTTGTTTGTATCAGAGCCAGCAATGGTTGAACCCACTGTTACAGCTTCACTCAGTTGATCACAAACTCAGCTTGGCTGATGTCTGAAGCGCATGTTATTTAAGTTGTTGCCTTCTTGATAAATACTGTGTGGTCTTTGTGAACTGGATAAAGTTAATTTTTCGTTGACACATCTTAACGCAAACGTAATGTTATGTCACTACGAAATTTCGCTGCATTTTCTTTTCCCTGCGACCAAAAATAATTTCCTATTTATCACATACAATTTTACTTTTTAATATTACTAACTCAAATGCTATTGTTTTTGTTTAGATATTTCGACAGCACAAGGAGTAAATGAGGAATGGCTTCATTTGTTTTTACATTTGGTCGTTGTAAATTTAGCAGCTAGATTCCATCTTGCCATGCATTTGTTCGGTAATAGATGACGTTAAAATGTTGTAAGAATGTAAGTGTCTCGCTTGGAGCAGCCAAGTGTCTTACTGATGTTCTTAACTTATTTTGACGCCGTCTGTGAACCATCAGTGAACAGACGCTTAGCAACATGTTGTCTGTCTGTGTTTTTTAATTAAAAAAAAAAGCTATATCTTAGCGTCTGTTCTTGTAAGAACCATTAAGAATACGGGTTGAATGCAGCTTATATATATAACATCGTAGTTGTTTTTGGTTTTGAAGCCCTGTTGCAAACCTTTTCAGTATTCTCAAGTTGTTGAGGTGGTTTTTGGAGGGTGTGTCATGTTCTTCTGGGATGATTTGCGACGGATTTTTTTGTTTGGATGTTACAAGGCTCCTTTCCCTATTTGATGTAAGCAATTCTCTAGTGCCTGGTTGCGGTTTAGTGAGTTAAGTTAGAGGTAAAACTGGTGTTCCTCCCCATCTCCTCCCCTCCCCCCTCTACTCCGAAGGGGCAGACGGGCCTGCGATAGTTTCGGTCATCTGATTGGCCTTTGTTATTGCTAAGGTTTTTTTTTTGTTCTACAACACTCTTTACAGATTGAATAAGAGACCTTGTTTCGTCTGAAGAACACACACCCTCGCTAGTATGTTCCAAGGATTCAGTTGGCAAAACGGATCGAAGTATAGGAATAGGCGCTCCTCTCCAGCACCATCTCGTCTTCGTTTTACAAACTGAATTCATGGAGCAGGCTTGCTCGAGCTTATGAATTTGTCTATTCTTGTCTTGCTAGGAGAATTAATACGTTAAACACTTATATCATACAAACTACGGTGTTATACGAAGATTTCCGGCTCTGAGAAAAGCCGTAACAACAAACGTGAAGAAATACGATATTTTTTCACGTGTTTGATATAACTAGTCGGCTGCTGACACGTCACTCGTCTTTGGCGCCACTTGCTTAAAGCCTTCACCATTCTCAATCCAAGGTAGTTTGTCAGAATTTTCTCGGATTATGGCTGCTAAAACACTGAAAAAATCTTTATCACTGAAGGACAGTGACGCACAAACTTTCCTAGAGGAGGAAGAAAACCAATATACCAGAAGAAAGCCGAAAGTTGCGTATTCAGTAGCTTTGGTAATGGCTTTTGTCGCGGCTGTGAACGAAAATCGACAATTGGAAGATTTTCCACAGACCGATTTTGGCCGTTACCTAAAATATTTTTTCTTTCGGTAAAGACAAAGTCAATAAATGAGAATTTTACAACTTAATAATTACGCCCATGGTTGTTTTAGTCATCATGATTCAACGCATCTTTCCACCTTGAGGCTTAGCGTCAACGCACTGTACGATTTTCTTTGGTGATTGTTGATTCTTTTATTTTAATTCATTAATTAAGTCGGCTTTTCTTGTCAGTAAAGGGCAATTGTGGTTATATGATAAACAAAATAATACATGGTTGCTTGTAGATATTGAGTTGTTCTTCGCGTGTTCAACTCGACATCTCACTTGTTCATTGCGCTCACTCGTGAGCTATCTAGTTGGACACTCGAAGAGAAATTCCATATCTCGTTAGCTTTATAGATGAGAAACAATCAATTTATCATGTGGATCCGCCCTACTAAGTGAAACTTACTCGCTATTCAATTGATTTCTTTAGAAAAGAGAGAGGAAAGAATCCAAAAACAGACGACAGTATCTTCTATTCAAAGCCCATGGTTTAGGACGAAAAATCGTTGCGTTATATACGGGAAATTAGTTACGCGATATCGTCACAGAACACGTCGCACGCAGAAGGACTCGCCTCTGTTCCTGCCGCTCTTTCAAATTATTTTCTCTTCCTCGCAGAGCCCCCCGGAGATATATTTGATATTAGATATCAACCAATGATATTTCAAGTAACTTCCTGTTATCAAAGCTTTGCGATGTTATACGCATTCAAAGAAGAACAACATTACAAAAGAAACACCAGGTACAAGGGATATCTCCTGGAAAACAATGGAATTGTTTTGGAAATCGAACCAAGGGAGGAATTTGAAATAGACAAATTGATTGTGAAATAAATATGACGCGGAGGAGCTTCCATTCATGCAGGTGTCATCACCCTTTGACAATTCAAAACAGGTCTCCTTTGCTCTAAATGGAAATTTATTTCATTTCCTAATGTTCGAAGGGAAGATCATAGTTGGGTGATGAATGACTCGATAAGGATACTGTTACTTTCGTGACATTAGCTCATCTTTCTAATAGCACCCTTACTGTCTTGTTTATACTTTCATGTGATTCTTGATAATTTTTGATCAAAGCTGTTTTTATCTTATTCCGTACAGATGTTGAATTGTTCTCGGGATAATTGTCCCTTGGGAAACAGGACCGTTGACGCCGATGTCTATTACGTTTGTTTAAATTTTCATCTTACTACTTTTATTGCGAGTGGTTTGTTGTCTGCGCTAACACTTCAGACTCTCAAAACTGAGGCTGTTTCTACTCTTCGATGGGGAGATGGGTACCGCTTGATTACACTCCATAAACAGCTCGTTAACTTTACCCAGGAAATCAAACCAGAAATCGTTGATAATCAGTGCCTTCTCCAATGTAGCTGGGTTACAGATGCAATCACAATTGCATCTCATTTTTTCTATCGCGTAGTAATTTTTGCTTCATTTTCTCTTAACTGATAAACGGATTCATAGTTCTGTATGTTATCGTTTGAAGAGAGAGCTCTTCAGTTGTCTATGACACCCGCTCTATTAATCTTTTAAAAATGCATTTCTTTTATGTTAGAAACCTTCTGCCCGTGTCCTTATATGGGACTGACTTTCGTAATATTTTCTGTCAATTATTTTCAGTAGTAGGCCATCATTCGATTTATTTCAACCCATCTTTAATAAAGTTTACTGTAGACTTAAAATTCAAGTTTTCCCCACTCGCTTTTTGATAATGAAATCCCAGACATCCGTGTTAATGATATTTAGCGCAATAACTATTCATTTTAACAAATAACAGCGCGAATTTGTCGAATATTTACAAAGTTCCGTTGACTTCCAAGTGCTTAAAAAATTGGAAGTGCGTTATTCAAAGTTAGAAGGCTGAAAAGTTGATGCTTTTTTCACAGTTCGGTCACTCAAAGGAAGAATATATTCAGTTTCTCCTTCTTTTTCACAAGGTAAATCTTCTTCCTCTTTGGTGTCAATGCTAGAAGACGTTTCGTCTTGTTTACTCAACTCCATTCTTTGCAAAAACCGGTTGACTTTACTGGCGACCTCTTCAAGCTCACTTTCATTAGCCACACTGCCTTTTCTTGGCGATGCCCTAGGGCTTAGCGAGGTTGGTGAAAGAGATGTCCGCGAAGATTTATTGCCAGTGGTGCAGCTTCCTCTGCGTGTTCCTGGCTGGCTTCCTGCAAGCGCTTCTCCAGCGAGTTTACTTGAATCTGCAGCAACTAGAGATCCTCCAGCACCTATAGGCGGTAAAGACTGCCTTCTCGGTTGACTGAGCGGCGGGAGTAGGAACGCCGTCGGACTAAGCGGACGAGTGGGACTTATTGATGTCCGTTCTGTCAAATCGACGTCCGTTGTTCCCTCGGAAGAAATCCTCCTCCTAATAGCCGCTGGTGAGCGTTTATCAACGTCGGATGAATTTCGCGGAGACACCGAAGCTGATAACAAAACTTGCGGAGTGCTATACCGCCGCGGCAATCGAGGGCTTAGCTTTTTGCCTCCATCGTTTGGCGATGACGCATCTGGGAGACTCAATCGATTCTTCATTATGTTTTCCGCGTCAGCGAGCTCCTTTTGAATTTTCTTTTTCTCGCGATCTATCTCCTTGCCAATTGATTCCCTGTGGAAATCTATGGAGTCGAGTTGAATTTTCAGTTTTCTGTCCGCCATTGAGTTCATGAACATTGTTTTGTCTGCATACTCAGTTCTTTGATATGCCATGGTTTCGCGGGCTAACAGGGAAGTCAGTGCTACTCAGTAATCGCGCGAAACTTTGGTCTCTGCGGTTTGTTTCGTGCGGAGATGGCAATTATGCAAATTTCCTTCAGTTTATGCAAGGAAAATTTTTTTTGGAGTGCACACCTGCACAAAAATAAATTATTTCTATGATAAGACGTGTCACTTGATGGAAACAATTAACAAGTCTACCTGTGCGAGGCCCAGGGCGGAATGAACAAAGAGCTTTATGAATTTCTCTCTTGTTCTGAAATAAAGACGGTGAAGTTAAACCGCTTTGTAGCGTACAAATAATAACTTAGAGCCTGAAAATTCTCTTTGGCAACCGAGTTATTGAACGAATATTTGAACAGGAAGGGCCATCGTTTTGAGTTGTAAATAGGGATTTTCTTGACGTGCTGTTTCCAGGTCTTCTTATGATAAAAATAAAGATTTTAATTCTCGGAAGCTTTTTATTCCGTAGGGTGATATCCTTTGACTTAATTAAGTGGCAAAGACTTAAGGCCATAAAAAGTTTCTTATTGCAAAACAGAGCCATGGCTGGTGTGTGTTTAACATTCAAACAAAGATATCAAAGAGAGCGGTTTGACTAAAATTCGGTTTGCCTTTTTTAATTTAGTTTACTCGAAAGTCAACAAACAACTTTATGTAATAAATTGGTGAAATTATGCAAGCTCATTGTCACCTTTTCTTTTAATCTTAGAGATTTGACAGTTTTTGAACGAAAAAAAAAAAGAGATTGCTAAATCTCTTTTGCTTTTTGAAAAAAGAGCTCAACAACTGGAAATGTATACCGATTACACTTTGTGATTAAATATAATTTTACCATTGATTTAGACAGTTGAGACGTTTTTTTGTCGTATCAAAGAGAAACTAATCGATATAAGCGGAAGGCACAAGATTGGACATTTAATCACTGTTTAAATCTCTTAACCAATCACGGCTGTGAATAATTTTCTTTCAGTAGCCAATCAAGATGTTGAATTGAAATTCAGAATCAGATCAAGAAGAAATGAAGATTGGTGAACCTGCCAAATCATTTTCGGACAGGAAAAACAGGATTTTTCTTGTAAGCCTAATTCAGATGCAAAACTTGTAAGTAACAGATATTTGAGAGAAACTTCTTGTCACAATTCATTTAATGAACGAAAACTGGATAAAATAACAAATAATGAAACGAATAAAACAAACTGGCTTTTGGTCTTTAAGCCTTATTACTTCGTCGTAACATAATACTTTTAAAATGCTAAAAGCTTTAAAAGACTATTTTTTTAATATTCAATATTTCTACCCCAAAAAGACCAGAAAAGTAATTCAATGTTGTTTTGAACATTGGGAAAGTGTTAAGTTAAGAAATATTATCTGCGGGCGGCTATAAAAGAGCCTATAAGCAAAACAAAGAAGAGATTTAACGACGAGAACTAAATTTTCGAGCTATTGTTTGCCTTGACTTATTTGTCACTTGCTAAAACGAATTTGACAAGTCGAATTCACCAAGGTGTCTTTTATCATCGTATTACTTCTGAAGTATAATTGGCTGGAAAAGCACGTTCCTGTTGAACCTCAAAAAATGCGACATTCTCGACGAAAGCAAAGAGTAGAAGCGATTGCAGTGGGACCTCTACTAATATTTTCTCTTAGAAAGGAAGCAGTTCTTAATGCGATGATTGCAACGGCCTCTCGTTGAGGTCCACTTCGCCGTTTGGGAGCCGGCATCTTTTTAAAACACTTTACTTTTCACTGGACTGGTACAAAACACTTCCCCAAAGTGACCATCGCGTTGGGGAACTTCTTCATATTATTTTTAGCAACTATTTATGGAATTAGTTATTTTATTAGTATTTGTAAAATAACAGAGACACTTAGCACGTTCTCGTTGGTTCAAAACCCCCTTCCAAAATAGGTGAGGCTATGTAAACATGGATAAAATCCTGTATTGCTTTTAAATGGCATTTGTACTGGTGCCTTTCCCATCCACTTTAATTTTTAATGCTCGTTTGATCCCCGACAGGAAATGTTTTCCCAAATGCTTGTAGCAGTTTAATAAGAATGGAAGAAATTTTTTTTTTCAGACGCTCACTTATGGGTTCTTCCACTTCTTTTATATCTGGTGTATCGAAAGAGCACAGGTTACCCGCCATTTCATTTTTTGATTACAACAGGTGTTACGGCTTGAATAAGATTACTTATTGATTTCCATGTTTGTTATAAAGCAATATACTGCTTTGGTTGAAATATGAATCTAGAATAGTATTGCTATATTGTGATATTCTCGTGCAAGACATGAGATTATAAATCTCTTGAATAATGTTAGTGTG